TTAAACAAAACAAAAAAAAAAAACCCAACTTGACTTAATTTTTTTTCCTTTCTTTGAATGAGCATTCCAAATTATATAAAGGCCTACTAATCTTAGAAGGAATGCATATAGCCCACCGTCTTTCATTCCCAAGTTTTATTCATCATTTTAGATTGAGAAGCGATGAATTACATTATTTTGCTAAACTTTGAAAATAAAATTTTATTTCTTCTGATGTAATAATTTAACAACATTTGTGATCTGTTAACGCTTGGAGCATCTGCTGTAAATGAGTCAGCTACCACATCAGTAAAAGTCACAAATGACTAAAGCGGCCATCTTAAATTAAACCCCAAAGGTTTACCAGTTGTAGAGGTACAGCCATTATTTTCTTTTCTGAGAGTCTCAATAAAATCTACAAAGCTGTTCATGAGATTTTTTAAATATACGACAAACAGCAAAGATTTGAAGGTTCCTACAGTATCACTCAGTCTAGACAAGACATTTCCCCTTTCCTGTAAAGACTCTTCCATTTCCAGTTCCCGTGTCACTCTGATGTTGGCTTCGTGTTCGGGTAAATCTGGCTCACAAAGCAGATGTGAAATCAGAAAAACGTGCAAACGCTGGCGGCTTCCCACAACTCCTGTTTCAAGTGCAAACAGAGCGCCACCGCTAAAGAGAAGCAGCTTCGCGAACAGCTGATTAAAGTGAGGCGAAGCCCTCGAGGTGCACGTCACTCCATCACTGCTGAGCAGGTGGACCTGAAAGGAAAACCTTTGAACACGTCAACGCTCTTACACGGCGTGATTGTGTAAGTTCACACTTCACAAGAACCAGTTCAAAGTTCAGTTTACACAGATTTTAAGACAATGATATAGTTTACTTTTGGAAAAAATAAATCTAAATTATGTTGACATTTTCAAAATTGAACAATTTTGTATGAGAAAAGGTGGCTCAGTTGGTAGAGCTGTTGCCTTTTAACGAGAAGGTCACCGGTTCAAATCCCAGCCCGGGACCTTTCAGGGTGGAGTTTGCATGTTCTCTCTGTGCATGCATGGGTTTTTCTCTGGGTCCTATGTTTTCCTCCCATAGACTAAAAACATGCATGTTAGTCTGATTGGTAACTCTAAATCGTCTCTATGAGTGAGCGAGTGAATGGTTGTTTGTCTCCTTGTGATGGACTGGAGACCTGTCCAGGGTGTCCCTCGCCTCTTGCACAGTGATTGCTGGATATGGGCACTAGTGACCCCCGTGACCAGAAAAGAAGATAATGGATGGATTATAAAATATAAAGTTAATAAAAGCGTTGTGAATCGCTGGTAGATTATATCGTACATATTTAACACATTGATCACACGGTGGAGAAGTGGTTGTTACAGTCGCCTCACAGCTTAAAGGCTGCAGGATTTAAACCCTAATGAGATAATTCTGTGTGGAAACTGCATTTTTTCCTGGTAGGTTTTCTCCGAGCACTCTGGTTTCCTCCCACAGATAAAAAAAACCCCACAAAAACACCAGCGTGTGCAACTGTAAATTACCCTTAGGTGTGAGTAGCTGTCTGTTTTGTTTGTATGTGGCCCTCTGATGAACAGGTGACTCCTTCAGGGTGCACTACCCCATATCTTGCCTACTAACTGCTGGAGCTATAGGCACAAACCTTCCATGACCTCATCAGGGCCAAGTGGGTACAGAAAATTCATCGATGGAAAGTTCTGTGTGATCCTGGATAGTGTTTCGATTTCTTTACATCTGTTTAATCTCTCCTGATAAAGCTGCTCTCTTCCACATACTGTGTTTTTTTCCATGTTTTTCTTGACACCAGTTCAATCCAATTCAGTTTTTTTTATATAGCACCAAGTCACAACAGAAGTCTTCTCAGGGCACTGAACAGAAACATTCATATATATATATACTGTATAAAATACTGTAAGTTGACACTGTTTATCTGAGGAGCAGCTTTGAATTTAACTCCATCACAGACTCTCATCTTGAACAAGCATGAAGGCGACAGTGGAAAGGAAAAAACCCCCTTATGAAAAAGAAACCTCCAGTAGAACCAGGCTCAGAACAAGAGGCCATCGGCTTCGACCGGCTAGGTTTGAAAGGAACAGATACACAATGGCAGGTCGAGAATCACATGTTAAGGTATAAACAATATACAATAAAAATTATTCCATTTTAACAATTCATTTAAGGAAATTAGGTCATTTTGTCATTCGGTAGTCTAAGCCTAGAGCAGCATAACAATCCAACCCTAACTATAGGATTTATCCAAAAGGAAAGTCTTAAAACTGGACAATGTGTCAGCCTCACAGACAGAAACTGGAAGTTGGTTCCACAAGAGAGGAGCCTGATAACTGAAAGATCTTCCTCTCATTCTGCTCTTGGAAACTCTAGGAACCACAAGCAAGCCTGCAGTCTGAGTGTGAAGTGCTCTGTTAGGAAACTATAGAACAATAAGATCTGTAATATAAGATGGAGCTAGGTTGTTGAGGGCTTTGTATGTTAGAAGTAAGATTTTGGATTAATTTCTGGATTTAACAAGGAGATGAAAGGAGAGAAGCTGAAACTGGAGAGATGTGATCTCTCCCACTGACTCCAGTTAAGACTCTGGCAACAGCATTTTGGATCAACTGAAGACGTTTTAAAGAAGTATTTGAACACCCAGATAATAAAACATTGCAACAGACGTGACAAATGCATGAACCAGTTTGTCTGCATCATTTTTAGATAAGATGTTTCTAATTTTAGAGACATTACTCCAAACAAAAAGGTAAAAAGATGCAAATGAAGAGTAGGATAACATTTTTACTTGTGGTCTTTTTCTTTTCTTGCACTGCGAGATTGAAGTTCTACTTTAGTAATAATAATAAAAAAAGTTTTTAAAAAGTTTTTTTTTTTGTTTGTTTGTTTAAACACAATATTATCTGACAAAACTTCTACTCACACTAAATAAAAATAACAACTGTGCTGTTAGGCCACAAATACACATAAGATGCTCTGTCAGAAATAAAGGTTTTCTAGTTTTTATCGTTCCTGCTAGCTGTGGCCTCTTGAAACAACTCGAATTTTAAAAGTTGCATTGCTGTTCATTCAAACGCTATTTATTAAATCTTTGTTTACCCTGTTGTCACTTTAGCATTAGACAGTTAAGTACTTAGATGTCTCTAGTTATTCATAATGAACACAAAATCGTCTTTAGTAATTTCTGGTAATGGTCGTTGTGATACTTGTGATAACAAATATTAACTTTTTTAGGTTAAAGTTGCTGCAGAAATCTGCTCTGGGACTGGTCTTGCTTGAACTATCTGTGAGATCGACTTCCCTGTAATTCCCTGAAAATTCAAACTTATCTAGTGCAGGTAAGATACTGATTACTGATAACATCACAGAACACCACTTGAAAACACATCCTTTAAAAAAATGGCAGTTATGACAATCTTACAGGACAACAGAAAAAAGTAAGAAATGTAGTAAATAAGCTGTGGGTGTGACCTGATCCTGATTCAATACAACAGAGTCAAGCTGTGGACTCATCTCTACTCCGTACCCCCGTGCGTTACCTTTTTATACCCATGCACTTACCAGTGCACAACTGTTTGCCACTTCCCTTTTACAGTAATCCTAGCACAAATCTAAACCAAACATGTGTTATAACTTTGTACCTTCAACTCTTCTTTGTACCCCTACATCTAACCCATGCAATACCTTTTGTCCTTACAGCTGTGTTACTGTTCACATGTTCTCTTAAACAGTCATCTTCTCTTAATCCCAAACAATTTCTAACCAGATGAGCAGATTAAAGTATAATAGATCACTTTAATTCATCACTTGTGAATGCAGCATGCATGAGCCCTATGGTAGATGGTTTGTTTAGGCTTCCATAGAAAGAAACCTGGGTACGAAATGACCAGCACTGCAAAAACAAAGTGACGATTAAAAGAAGTAATCCACCAATTACACTGCGCCACTCTGACCTGTTTACACATTTAAAATTAATATTTTTTTTAAAAGTACTTTTATCATTGTGACCTAAAGCTAAAAACAAGTTTATAGCCTTATAAAACTTTGAAGTACAAAAGTAATTTGTCTGATTCTGCTGGAAGAACTGACTCCATCCTGACTGTGAGAGGTTCTGCAGGTTCACACCTCTTTACTGAAGGGTCTTAGGTGCCGTTTGTTTTCTGAGTTTCCACAATAAAATGTCGTAAAAGCCACAACGCGCAACGGTATCAAACACAATCACAGCAATAAAACACAACTCCACAGCCACACCCAGTTAAAGCCGCAGCAGGACTGATGGGAAACGTCACGTTGCTCTTCATCAGCAGCTACAGTCCAAGCTGAGATGTAATGATCGACTCCATGGAACGTGGACTGTCCTGCACTCAGTGGTCCAATTTGGTCTTGCTGTGTTGAGCATGGTTTCTTAAAAAAAATAAAAAATAAATGTGGAGATAAACCAGGAATAATCAACTAGAATGTGTAGACTTTGTGTTTTCCATGAGTTCTGGACAGCTCCAATTTTCTTTTTTCTCAGAAGTCTATAAATTCTCAAGTTTATCTTTGGTTTTCGTCACTTGAAGCCAGACACGATTACTGTTGATGATCTCCGAGGTGTGAAAAGCTCGTCCAACCTGTTGATTTCAATACCTAGAAAAAAAAAATCACAGCTGAGGTGCAGAGAGTCCTTTCAGTCCTGATCTACAAGTTGCCTCCTGAGCTTTGGAGCCTGTATGAAGACGGACACGGGCTGGTAAAGTACACCTTTAGGGAACAGATCGTGCATGAGAGAGCAGAGACTTTTCGTCACCACGACAGAGCCATAAACCTTTCTTTCTCCCCCCTGCTCCTGATGAGGTATGCAACAAGAGTTGCGAAATCTCCTGGCTGTGGGGTGTCCACAAACGCTCCTGCTGCTTTCTTTTTCAGACAAGTAAAGAACATCACATTAAATAAAAAATAAAAATCTGTATTGTGTTTTCCTGTCAAAGCCTGAGAGGTGTCAGCTGTCAACTTACCCACAGATCCGTTCCCCAGTTCATGTCTGCAGGAGGTAAAGATGTCTTCAGATCCCCCTTATGTTGTTTTAAAGTAAAAACAGATAGCTCCGAATTAAAAAGTCCTTCTGTTGGAGGAAAGTACCCAAAGAAAAACTTGTAGGTTTCAGAGCAGGCGAAGGAAATAGGAGGAAGTGTACGCCTTCTCCTCCTTGGCTCCGACACGCTGTCCTGTTTCTTCCAGCCAGCAGAGAGAGAGAGAGAGAGAGGGAGAGAGAGAGGGAGGGGGGCGGGGGGGGGAGAGAGGGGGGGGGGGGGGGGGGGGGGATTTGGTATTTCTACAGAGGAAGGAGTAGAGCATGTACCATCTGTTTGTTTTATCTTACAGGAGCAGCTTGACGTTGTTTTTTCCTTCAGAAATGCTCCTGAAGGCAGCACCGGATCTGTTGCTCACAATGAAATGTCTCAGCAAACCAAAGAAGAGTTACTGCGGCTGCTGGAAGAAATTAACACAAAATAAAATAACTTCTAGGCTTTATTACGCATCAGAAACAATGCTGGAAGTCGTTTTTTCAAGAAAGAAAACGTTGAGTTTGCAGAAGCACGAAACGAGCTGAAAGTTGTTTATTGAAAGGAAGCAGACGCTCCCATGTGGCCGCAGCAGTCTCTGAGCGTTTTTTTGTTTGGTGCGTTCACGTGTAATCGGATTTTACTGAGCGTAGTCAAAACTCGGTCTCTGCAAGATTGACTGCTTTCTTTGTCCTTTTTATATTTTTATTTTATTTTATTGTTTCCCTGTCGCGGAAAGGCAAAGCTGTAACAAGTTGTTGCCAACGTCTGTTTGTGCCTGTTAGCAGAATATTTCAAGAACCACTGAATGAAAGTCACTGAAACTTGAGGAAAGTAATTATTGGAAGTACAACTACTACTGTTTAATGTTTGGAGTCAGTCTGAATCATTTTGACAAATATTGTGTTATGTTGTGGTAGTAGCTGAGATAGTATGGGGTGCCGTAAGTTACACAGACAAAAATTAACAGCAATATTTTGGTTAATTTATCCTTTCATAAAAAAAATAAGTTTTTTTTTTTTTCAAAGTCAATTTTTCACCATGTTATTCATACTAATGTCATAGTTCCAAACTAAATATTTAATTTACAAGCTAAATATTTAGCTTGATAACTAAATATTTAACATATTTAGCTATCAAGCTAAATATTTAGCTTTTGACAAACTAAATATTTATGTCTAAACTAAATGTTTAATTTACAAACTAAATATTTAACTTGCAAGTTAAATATTGTTAGTGAACTAAATATTTAGGTGTAATTTAAATACTTTATTTCCGAGCTAAATATTTATTTTCAAAACTAAACATTAATTTCTAAGCTAAGCATTTAATTCCTAAACTAAATAGTTAATTTGCTAACTAAATATTTAGCTCAGACCTAAATATTTATTTGCCAAGCTAAACATTTAATTTCCAAAATAAATATTTAATTTGCTAACTAAATATTTAGCTTGGACCTAAATATTTAACTTGCAAGTTAAATATTTAGTTTGTAGACTTAATATTTAGCGTGGAAGTAATAGTTAGCTTGCTAACTAAATATTTAACTTGCAAGTAAATATTTAGGTCCGAGCTAAATATTTAACTTGCTAACTAAATATTTAACTTGCAAGAAAACTAAATATTTAGTTTGGAACTATGACATTTATAAATGTATGAATAACATAGTGAAAATCTCACTGTGAAAAAAAACATTTTTTTTTTATGAAAGGCTAAACAAACTAAATATTGCAGTTAATTTTTGACTGTGTAAGTTTACCAACGACACCCCATAAGACTGATCCCCAACATCTACCGTATGTTCTACCAAATTGCGCCAAACTTTTGGCTTGAAATTATACAATTAACTATTGAAGATTCACCTCAGTCTGTCTGTTAGCAGATTTGATCATAAACCACTGGACAATTTTTTAATGAAACATTCAGAAAATGTTCATTTGATGTCCATCTACAACTGATTAAACTTTGTAGGATATCAAATTTAAGTGTCCCACCACAGCCATGTGAAAAAAAGAAAACACAAAAATGTCTATAATCAGCAACTTTTACAGATATTGTGCTAAATATTTTTGTGGTAGTAGATGAGAGTAATTCACAGAACATATTTCAAGTGCTGCTCATTAAATGAATATTTTCTCTCTTAAAAGCTCAGCATTAACAGCTGGTGTCAACCCTGTGTGTCTGTTAACAAAACATCTATCAAACCACTGGATGAATTGCTTAATATCAGACAAAGTAATTACTGAATGAACATCGTTAACTAACTTTTCAAGTCCATCTGACTCTAGATGGCCACCACAGCTAATCAGGCAACACAAAAATGGATATGGCTCATTCCCATTAGAGCTCAAATCTGGTGTGGTAGTAGCTGAGAGTCCTCCTCAACACATAATCTGAGCCTGATGTCTTGCAGCATGAGGCTGTAAATAATAATATTTTCAAGGTTAAATCAAAACAGCAGAATTTTTATATTTTAATGTCGTACATTTATCAAACGGCTTTAGCTAACAAGTAATTCTGGTTACTAGCAAATATAGATTTAATTATTTTTAAACACTGATGTTTAAACAAGCAATTTAAAACACGGAAAAATGCTTTGAAACAATCAAGCACCACTTTAAAATTTGGTATTATTTTATCTGTTCTGGTTTATTGCCTGTGTCTGTGACCAAAAGATCTCATGAACCAGAGGACAAAAAAAGTCATTATTAAAAACCATCTGCAAGTGATTACTTGAACTTTTGATGAAAGCTTTTCATTAACTGTTGGAGTCAACCATGCTTGTCTGTTAGCAAAATATGCACAGAAACTCTGGATGGATTGTACTAAAAACAAATTTTTGGATGAAGATCCTCAACCTTAAACATTTTACTGGAACCTCCTTCTTCCACCTGTGTAATATCACTAAAATTAGAAACATCTAAAAATGATGCAGAAAAACTGGTTCATGCATTTGTCACGTCTAGACTGAACTATTGTAATGATTAATTATCTGTGTCCAAATACTTCTTTAAAACGTCTTCAGTTGATCCAAAATGCTGCTGCCAGAGTCTTAACTGGAGTTAGTGGGAGAGATCATCTCTCTCCAGTTTTAGTTTCTCTCCATTGGCTCCCTGTCAAATCCAGAATTGAATTAAAAATCCTACTTCTAACCTACAAAGCCCTCAACAACCTAGCTCCATCTTATAGTACAGATCTTATTGTTCCATATTTTCCTAACACAGCACTTCGCTCTCAGGCTGCAGGTTTACTCGTGGTCCCTAGAGTTTCCAAAAGCAGAATGGGAGGAAGATCGTTCAGTTATCAGGCTCCTCTCTTGTGGAACCAACTTCCAGTTTCTGTCTGTGAGGCTGACACATTGTCCAGTTTTAAAACTGGACTTAAGTTTTTGATAAATCCTATAGTTAGGGTTGGCTTGTTATGCTGCCTTAAGCTTAGACTACAAGAGGACAAATTAACCTCTTTTTTTTTTAAATTAATTGCTAAAATTGAATAGATTTCATTTGATACTATTTCTTTCTTAACATGTGATTCTTGACCTGCCATTGTGTATCTGTTCCTCTCAAACCCAGCCAGTCGAAGAAATGGTCGCTTGTCCAGAGTCTGGTTCTGCTAAAGGTTTCTTCCTCATGAGGGAGTTTTTCCTTTCCACTGTCGCCTTCATGCTTGCTCAAGATGAGAGTTCTGTGATGAAGTTAAATTCAAAGCCGTCTGCTCCTCAGATAAATAATGTTAAATTATTATTTTTATATGTGAACATTTCTGTTCAGCGCCCTGAGACGACTTCTGTTGTGACTTGGCGCTATATAAAAGAACTGACGTTAATTGAACCGATAATCTTTTAGAATAAACCCAATTGAAATTGGATCTCACAGCTGATGAATGTTATGCAACACAAAAATGACTAGAACGCAGCCAATTTTACAGGAATTGAGCTGAAACTTGATGCAATAGTAGCTGGGAGTCATTTAAGTTGCGTACTCTGTGGATGGCATCAAGAAGGAAAAAACAATTACAAAGTTAAAAAAAACCCTCAAACCTCCAAGTGACTTTAATTGAGTCAGAAAGCGCATCATGAATAAATACAGTCTCCATCTCCCTGATTGACAGAGAAAAGTTTTACTTCTAATTTCTAAAACTTGAAACAGCTTCCGCCTTCACGGCTCTAATTATGTTTGCTGTTAAGAGAATTATCATCCAATGCTCAATAATAATCAGAATATATTGGAAATTTAAAATATGTAAACACATTTTTTCCAAACATGGCAAAATGCAGCAAGCACACAGCCCTCCTGTGGTGAAGAATGAAGTCTTACAACAACCCTGTTGATGTCATGCTAACCAGGTCACTGTGTGCACGAGCATTTCACCACCGGTCGGATCTTCATGGCGATGGTCTTCAGGGAGTAGTTCCAGCCTTTCCACGTTTGCCAAACCACTTGAGCATTTTCGAAGCCGATGGCTCCGTGAGGCGCATACATGCCGGTGGGATTGGCCATGTGGCAGGCGTTGTACCAGAATCCTCCCAGGTAATGCTGGGCACAGTTTTTCTCCCACGTGTCCTGGTCTTTGTCAAAGGTGGTGAACTTTGCAGAGCCCTGATTTGTCAAACTGTCGCCTGGATGAAGGAAGCAGAAGAAACTAAAGTGAGATCAAGGCTGAAATTTGTGTTTCTAAATAAGGCTGGTTACTTTTGAATGCTATAAATAGGATACAGATAAATATTGAGTTTACTCTGATTTTTAACATATATTTCATAGTGTGTGAAGTTTACGTAATTGCATGCTGTGTTGAATCCGTCAGAGATTCAGAGATTATTTATTGTCATTCGCACCACATGTGGTACATGAGGTGGAATAAAATTATGTACATATGGTTCCAAAAACCCATCCATTATCTTTTACCCGCTTCTTTCTTTTTGGGTTGCAGGGGCCGCTGGCGCCCATGTCCAGCAATCACTGTGCGAGAGGCGGGGACACCTGGACATGTCTCAGTCCATCACAGGGACCCACAGAGACAAATGAGACAAACAACCATTCACTCTCTCACTCACACCTAGAGACAATTTAGAGTTACCAATCAGCCTAACATGCACGTTTTTGGTCTGTGGGAGGAAACCGGAGAAAATCCACATATACACGGAAAGAACATGCAAACTCCACCCAGGAAGGCCACGGACGGGATTTGATCTGGGAACCTTTTCACTGAGTGGCAACAGCTCTACCAACTATGCCACCGTGTCACTGTTGTGTCATATGGTTAAAAAATAATTTTTGTTTGATATACAGTACATTTTATTTAAAGTTGCAGTTTGAGACTTTACTCATATCTGACCATTTGCACTGAAGCCCCTGTCTAATTGTTCCACACAGTGCAGATCAAGATAATCATGCCATATATATATATATATATATATATATAAAATAACAAAATAATAATAACAAAATTTTTTTTTTATGCTTACATGTTAAAAAAACAAGTCCCTTTCTTATATCAGACTTTTTTCCTCTCATGTAACAGTCATGAAAACTACTTGTTTATTAGGTGTTAGGTTTTAACGTGCACCTTTACTCCTCAACAGTCTCCCTTTCGCAGGCTGCTGTCTGTGCAACACATCTCAAAACAAGTGTAACACACAACTTTTACAAAACCAAATATAATATTTTAGGGGGGGAAACTACGGTACCATTCTACTAACAATATTGGAAGAGTCATTTGGGATTGAGAAATCAGACTTTTTTGATGTATTTCTGTGTATTTATGAGCAGATTTCTTGAATAAACTTTGAAGTTACAAAGAATGGTGGAAAGTGTAAACTAGAAAAGATTTAGCAAAAGCTGCATGTGCATTATCCAATGCTAGATAGCCAATGCACATGCAGCTTTTTACATTTTTTAATTTCTCCTAAATATTTCTTCCAAGACTACACTTGCCCAATTCCACTCTATTTGTTAACCGACTCAAACTATAGCCAGCCTAATGCAGGTTGATCACTAGACTCTTTCATGGAGCAGTTCTGGAAAATGTCGGTACAGACCAGTCCATCTTTCTCTCCCCTCTGGCTGTTACACCTCAAATGGAGCCAGCCACTTCCTGCTCAGACTTGAGTTTTCAGAAATGAAATGGGCAGTGTGGGCGGAGCATAACTCAGCTGCGTTGTTGTAGAGCATGGCGTATTAAATGTGTCATTTACAAAACATAATGAAATATCTCACTTTACTGATCCTATCAAGTTCTGTGCGTCATCATTCTGTAACAAATCTGTTGTTTAATGCTGCGGTTGTGCATGAACATCAGCTCATCACATTACTGAGCCGTGGCACCTCATCTTACTTTTTCACATGTTGTCACATGTTTTCACTCTGTTCCTACCTCACTCAGTTGCACAGAGGCGGACCGGAGGTGGGCTATTTTTAATCCCCACTTGCTGCCTCGGTCCATTCTGAGGCTGCTAGAACATTTCAGTTCCGGACTGAGGCGTCTCGTGAAATAACCGACTCAAGCTTCTATGTGGTTTTTGGTGGTCAGTCTGGTGCTTTGTTTACAGGGAGTGTGTACCAGTGGTGTAGTCTATGCGATATGCCGGTATATGGCGTATACCAATGCAGACATTAACCAGACATGTTCTTGCTTTTAGTTTTCTACAGCACCTTACAACCTAGCTGTGTTTTTTTTGTTACATTTTCTTTTAAATACCATTTTATTTTTACTTGTTAAAAAAAAAAAAAAATCTCAATTTGTACGCATCCTTTATGATTGCCTATTGTTGTCCACTGTTGTCATCACTCTTTGTTAAAATCAGGTCTCTCTTGTAAATGAGTCCCCAAGACTCGATAGGATTAACCTGTATAAATAAAGGTTGAATGAAAAAAATACCCATTAGAAAAGCTTAAGAAGTTCAGTATACCCACTTCAGTGCCCAATGATACATGACATATCATTAGGCATGTGTCATTAATACATTAAACGGCAGTTAAACACTTGCATAACAATTTATTTGTATGCAGCGCTTATTACATTTGCTTATCCAGCGAATATTGTATAATTCTGTACTTACTACTTAATACTTGAACATGTTTTGCTTTGATACTGTTTTATAAATTATATAATATGTTTTAATACAAAGCCAACTGCTGTTCAAAGTTTGATGTAAATTTATTGAAATATAAGCATCAGAGAAATTTGCAAATGTTCAATATGCTTAAAAATCAAAATAAATAGATGATTACATTGTACTAACCAGTGTACATGGTTTCTAAGCACAGTATGCCCACTACAAAAATGTAGACTACACCACTGGTGCGTACCCACTTTAAGGAATTGCATGCCAGTGTATTTGGAAAACTTCTGGAGTAAACTTTTTCAAACTGCAGATCAGGGTAATCCATACATGTTTGTCTAACAAACAGAACCCATCCTGAGGACTTGACTCAACCGTGTTAAATTTATCTGCCTGGATTACTGAGCATGCATCAAGACTTTTTATGTTTGAGTTCATAGTTGCAGTGAGTCCTTTTATCATGGATCATTCTTTTGTTATTTGTAACAGTATATATCTTAGATCTTATTACTGTTTTTCTTTACAATTTATACTTTTGTTGGATGTAACTGGGACCCTGTGTACACAATTAAAGACACAAAAAAAGAAACTGACTTTGACTATGGCAGTGGTAAAGTTGAGATGCCGAATGTACTTGTATCTTAATTTTCATGACGATAAAGAATAATTCAAGTGCAAATTTCATTCTACTTTGCACAGTCTGTAAAAATGGTAGTCAAGTCTTAAATCTGAACGTTGAATTTTAATTTCTGGCTGAAACAAGGAGAGTCACCTGCTGCTCCACCAATGAAACTGCCCAGGTGCAGCGCATAGCCGTTGTTCTCAGAATCGATTGAGAAGGAGGAGTACTCTGCAGAAGCAGCTCCACCCTCCCAGTCCTGCATGTCAACTCTCAGCTCATTCTCCTTTCTCTGTGTTAACAGGAAAATGTGTTCCAGGCCTGAAAAGAAACACAGAGCTTCAGTTTATTTGGCTCGCTGTCACGCTTTATTTTATTGTCTTTGTTCCCACCACCATGAAAGGCGCATTTAAGTAGGTGTGTATATGTATACCAATTGTTGGTACCTTTTTAAGACCTGTACCAGTATAATTGCATACCTTGTCAGGACTAGTAGTCCTTATAGGGACCAAAGCCTGGATCTAATACTCAAAAAAGGATTTTGGGTTGGGTTTAGGGTTAGGCACACACTGGTAATGGTCAAATTTAGATTACAAAAATGATTGAATATCAAAAAAATGTCCTAATAAGAATAGAAAAACAAACTTCAGCCTGTGTCTTTGTGTCTGCTCTGTTGGCACAATATGGATTTTAATTAAACTTTCCAGATTTTTAAATTATTTATAGCATCTAATCAAACAAAAAATACTAACTCTGTCAGTTTTACTGCTACTGAGTTATTTAGGTATCAAAACCAGGAGATATTTGTATTTTGATTCTATTTTTGCTTCTTTTTTTAACAGCTAGCAAATACATTTTCTCTCCCTAAAACAGTTTTTGTTAGATACTCTTTTGAATCTAAAAAAGTTAAATCTGGTCCTCTGCACCAGATTTAACTTTTTTAGATTTTTCTACCTGGATTATTGAGCATGCATCAGGATATACTCTTTTGAACTCCTCTCCTGTTAAAGTTTCTGCATCTCAAGGAGAGGTGCAATCTTTTCTATACATTTAAATACTTTTTAAATTTCAAACTTTTTCATAGTGTTAAAAACTTTATACAGGTAACAGATTTGGGATTGTTGATTTCAGCTGATGTTTGTGGTGGAGGTTTTAAAGAGGGATCAAAGATCCTCAGACTGTGCTCGGCACAGTTTCACACAGTGACAGATCTTATGAGCTCAGTATACTAAAGCCAGGCTTGCAAAAAGATTTGATGCAGTGTCCCCTCTGTGTGAGCAATGCAGACAGGCCACAGAACATTACTCACACATGTTTTGGAGCTGTCCCTCCATGAAGAGATCATGTATGGAACTTTTCCAACGTTATACATAAATGAAGAGGATATCGTTAATGATCTGACTTTCTTGTTCATGGTGTGACGTACGCCACTTGATCCCTCTCCTGCATTAAAGGGCTTAATAGCATTTACAACTCCGCTGGCTAATACTGATAAAATGAAACTTTGCAGCTCCACCTACATAAAAAAGCTGAATTAGAGAGTCCCTTTGCTTTCCTAAACCAGAAACATTCAGACTGACTGCTGGTAAAGATAGATCATCTGAAATAAACTGGAACTGTCCTACAGGATGTCAAATCATCGAAACTGATGTGTTGGCATATGTGTCATGTGTATGGAAGTTTATATGCACTTATAGAGCTTTTATTTATTAATGTAATTAATTCATTAATTCATTCTGCTTACATGTAGGTGTTGGGGCGGGGGTATGTTCACTTACGGTGTTAAAAGTTTATAAAAACTAAAGTAAAATTAGCTGTGGCAGTAGTTGAGCGTAATCCCCAATGCATACTTTGAGTGCTAACAGTCGCACAAGACCTTCGCCATTTTTCTTTTTATCTTACCCATCCAGTATTCTCCAGCTACGTTGCCAAACCCAGACTTATAATGCTTCCATGGCCTGAAGAAGCTCTCTGTCCCATCCATCCTCCTGAGGAACACCTGAGGGTCCAGATGAGATGCAGAGACATGCAGAGATTTGAACTTTACTAAATATGTTGCACTATGTTTTCACTGAGCGAGATCTTGTATAATGTTTTACATTATAACAGCTTTTCTATATCACATCTTTAATAATCCTTAGAGATGTTGGTGAAGATTCTTAGTCAGCCAGGACATGATCAATCCCCAAAAAAGTTAACAAAACAAAAACAACTGACGTCTGTTTTTGTTTTTTAATCCTTAGAGATGTTGTCAGGTAACGTTGATGTCATTTTGAATATCATTCAAAATTGATGACAGCATGAAGTTTGGAAATGATTTGTCTTGATTTTATTTGACAGTGTGTCAACCAGCACAGGGTAATGATAATAACCGTACTTGCTGTTGTACACGTCGCACCACCGTATAACTCGCATCAGTCCAAATATGTCTAATAAAGTGGAAACAAACATAAATATGTTGCTTCACCGTATAAGTTGCATCTATTATGCGTCATCGCTGACACATCGCAATTGTTATGCGTCATTGATGACCACCCGGAAATGTGGGCTGGTGTTGTGCCAGAAATCGATTGGCTGCCAAATGGCGGTTGTTGGAGCATGCATAGGAGGACTTTAGCAAAAATTTTACAAGATTAACACTTAAAAACAATTATTTGTTTGCGCAACATTATAGTAAAGGTGTGTCTCAGTCTAACTTTTCCTTGATAAATGCACTTTAACAGTCAAATCAGTTGCATTTCGCCTGGGTGGAGCGGTGAAATGCAGCTGATTTGACGAGACGAAGGGGCTTGTTATGGCAAGCCAAGTGTCTCACTAATAGCCACTTTTACCTATTAATAAGACACTTTGCTTGCCATATTAGTCAAGCACTCTAGTGGCTGAAAATGGTAGTGTTCAATATTTTCCATGTCAGAATGAATTAAATCATCATATCTCAGCCAAAAATTGGTTTATAAATATGGGGGAAAAACATAAATATGTCTCCTTGCTATATACGTCGCAGGACATGCTAATTTATGCAAAAAGGTGTTACTTATACAGTGAAAAATACGATATTCTTTGTGAGCAGCATCACAAAGACAACGGCAACAATCACGATGAGACTTTGTTGATGCAGTTCACGTCTTAAACAGCACGCAAGAAAACGTTTGCTCTACATTTTATTTAGTTTTTTGCATGAACCAAAGAATTGACGGATTGACTGAATTATTCCTCATGACTTCATCTCCTGCTGATTAAAAAAAATAAAATACTCACGGTCCACCTGCCCCCATCTGTATCCATGTCGCAGTAGACGTGCAGCGGTGTGGTCGGACCCCCGGGGTAGATCCTGTACACCCCGCTGGAGCTTGAATTGTTGTGGCTATAGATGCCATCACAGTCGACTGGCAGGTAAAACTGTGAATTAGAGTGAACTGAGGCCACAAAACCCAGCAGACCAAGAAGTAGTGTCACCTGGGAAAAATAGATTAAAAATCATCCACATGAGTAAATTTCTGCACACAAGTCAGATCAGGATTATTTGATACTCTTGAATTATCAACATGTCTTTCCTCTTTGACAAATAGAACAAGATAAAGAAGACTTGTGTGTTTTATTTTTCTCGATTTATTATTGACTGATACAAGTATTCATCAGCGAAACATGTTTGTGTGCAAATATTAAATTTTCAAATTCCTCAAACAGTGTCTGACAGTAAATTTATTATTTTCCCTCAGTGAGACCCCAGATTAGACAAAAACATGTTAAAAAATAACCCACTCTCTTCACTCAGCTTGATTAATCTTTTTCACATTTTATAACATTTCACGTTGCTTCGAGCACTTTATATAAAAACAGTTTTGGGTTGAGTTTAAAGACACGAAAGTATCAGTTTCCATCAGCTGGTGCACACAGTTGTTAAAACACTTCAAGTTTCTCCTCAGGGGGAAAGCTGAACATTTGTCTTACAGCTATGGAACAAGTCTGGAGCTCTGGGTTTATTCAAAACAACACAATATGCTTAAACTCTAAAATATCTGGTAGATATTTGTCACTAAATTCACCCTTTCAGTTTTTTTTTTTTACCCAGAGGATCCACAGATCTAAAGTCTGAAAGTAAAACGATCAGAACTGGGAAAGTCTGTTATTGAGTAACTAAAAGCACAGAGAAACTCCCGAAAACCAACAAACATTACTAATAACATCTTTTAATAATTAACTAGGATAAGCTGATTTTATGTTTTTATTGGATTGTTTTTATTTTTACAAAAATCCAATAAAAGGATGTCTGTTCTTTGAAAAGAAAAAAAATCATTAAAACCTTTAAAGCTTAATTTGAAAACAGGAAATTAGCCATTTTCTTAGATTTGCAATGCAACACAAGTGGTGCAGAACCACTAGGCCGAGGAACAGCTTCTACCCTGAAGCTGTTAGACTCATGAATCTCTAATCAGGATTATCACTGTAATGCCACTTTGGTTGTTGATATGTGCTGCTGATCTCATGCTGCTGATCTCATGCATCTGTGTTCATTCGTACTCATCTGCTCACACAGACTCATGTTCGTGCTGCTGCTGTTTGACGTATTGTTTTTGCACTATTAAGTGTTTAGCATATTTGTTAGTTCATATCTTAGATCTTATTACTGTTTTCCTTTTACAATTTATACTTTTGTTGGATGTAACTGGGACCTCGTGTACACAATTTCGTTCCACCTCATGTACCACATGCAATGCGAATGACAATAAAAAACCTTGACAATTAAGAGTTCGTTGAAAATGTATTTTATTTATTTATTTTTTTGGTTGCATTTTCACTTAAATGTTCTGAAAGATGAACAGAAGCATTTACAGTATGCTATGTTGCTGTCCAATGATAAAACAGCGTTACTAATTTAACTTTTCCAACATTTTTCACTCAGGCCATCTGAACAGTTTCTTTTTTTGTGCTGAAACGTTTCACCTTCCATCCAGAAGGCTTCATCAGTCAAGGCAACACACAACACAAAACTGATTCTTCCCCCAACAGCTTACTCCAAAGTGGAACAAACCAGTTATGTTGGTGACCTGGCTGAAAATTGTTAAATTGTATACCTGGATTACTGAGCATGGACTTTGTTAATTTAACTTTTGCTTCTTCTTTCGGCTGCTCCCTTCCCCAGAGGTCGCCACAACGAACTAAGCTGATCCGTGGAGAGTTGAACCCAGGCTGCAGACTGACACGGAGGAACTCGAGGGTAAAATAAAGAAAAATGATTTATTCAACAAAACACTAAAACTAAGGCTGGTATGGCAACAAAACTTACAGCGAGTAATCTTCACAAGGAGACACGGAGGAACAAACCATGACGGCTGCGGGAAGCACAATCCACGGACGAGGGACGAACAGAAGGAGACATTATTTAAAGACCAAACAAACGAGAGGGAATAACAAACACCTGGGGAGGACAACCAGGAGCAGGTGAGAGTGGGAGGAGCAGGAGCTGGCAACAAGAGCAGAGAAACACTGGAAGTTGGAGACTCAGGGAAAAAAAAAACAGACTCAGGGAACTAAACAAAATAATCACAAGTAGACATGAACGCCACAAAACACACAGGTTATGGCAAACGGACTTGCACGAAGACTTGGTAATTGTTTTTACACCGGATGCCCTTCTTGACGCAACCACAGACCACTGAGCTACCACAGCCCTCTGTGTGGAGCAGAGAGCTGCTCTCTAGGGCGCCCAGGGGAGCAGATGGTGGGGGTTAAGGGCCTTGCTCAAGGGCCCAGAGTGGGGCAAATGAGGGTGGAGGCAGGTGTGGGTGATTCACTTCGCTCACCCACATTTTGGATGTCAATCCGCGGATATAACTGGCAACAGACTCACCTTCTCGAACCTCTGCGCCACTCCCCGTTACTAATTTAACTTATTAAACTGTACTCTCAGCAGACAACATAAATTTACTTTAGACTGTGAATAATTTGCTTTACAGAGTATTTATTCATTAATATTATGGACAGCAAAGCAGTGAACTATTTGAAAGGATCTCTGTCTTGGCATCTTACCTGCATTGTCATTCCTGGAGTGGGAAGTTCACGGCTCAGTCTGCTGAAATGATCGTGATGGGAAACGGGGGGCGGATTTAAACAGAGCACACAGGGTGTGACCCAAACATGCGACTTTTTTTTTCTTCAGAAAACTCCAGCCTTACGAAATCTGATAACCTTGTTTTCAATAAAACTGAAAGTGATACTGGGAGGGAGATGGTTTTATGCATGTGACCTCATTTATGTTTATGATGCATATTTAAACCCCTTTTTGGACATTCTAAGCAAAGAAAATCAAAGTTCAGTGTCCTCACAAACAACTAGACACAGGTTAGTGGCAACACAAGTTAAATTATTAACAACATTCCTGGCATGTCTGTGTCGAATCTTTAAAGGTAACATAATGACATATTTTAAGCCCATAATCTTACTTTATATTTGCAAAACAAAACAAACTTTTCCTCTTTTAATTTGACAATTTTTGACGTTCACAAAACAAACACTGTATTGTCAGTGATATGAACACAAATTTACTGAAACAAACAAAAAAACTCTAGTCTCTTTCTAAAACGTTTTTATTTATTTTATTTTTTATTTGACTGCATGAGGCTGGAGTAGTTCTGCGACAGCGCCCACTTTGGTCTTGGCCGCCCTGCTCAGCTCTTTGCTTGTCTGTGTGGACAAACTATATTTTTTAAATTGAAGTGCGGTAGTCCCTCGAAACTTCGCAGTTCGACTGTCGCAGACTCACTCTTTCGAGGTTTATCAACGCAAGATTTTACATGACACACAACTGTCAACATTAATATTACTCATGTGACTGGGACAATACAGAATGAAAAGTTAATGAAAAAATACTTGGGACAGGTGCTGCCATTTTGTAGTTTTCTTTCAATAAACCTATACTGTAACACCAGTCAAAAGAACTACTCTACCCAGAAGCCAACGGTGCTTCTCGCTGCTGCTTTCTGCCGAAATGGCAGAAATGGAGGGAGGATTTATCTGTTAATCTCACAGAACTGGCAGGAAAGTTGCAAATAATCCTGGAGCTGAACTCATCCTTCAAGCTGTAGTAGTATCTTCACCGGTGAGTACCTGCAGGTGATCTGGACTCAGTGTGATCCAGATCCTGGGGGCTTCAGGGGACAGACAGAGGCGGGGTTCAGCCTGGTTCTGATCACCACTGTGCTGGTCTGGACCCAGGCTAAGGTGGTGGACCACCTCCTGGGCAGCCCTGCGCGTGGAGTGTAATGCCTGGAGCAGCAGCTTGCGCACATCAAACTGCATGGGGTGGTGGGCTTCATCATGCTGCAGGGTAGTCGAACCGGATCCGAGCCCGACCGGAACCGAGCTGCTGGTCTGCAAAGCTGGTGAGTACTCATACAAAATGTTGCAGCTGCTGCACAGTACATATACGTATGTTGTTAAATTTACATAGGTTTAAGAGTTTAGAACAGGGCTTTTCAATTGGTGGCCCGGGGGCCAAACCAGGCCCATTGGTGAGCTCAGTTTGGCCCACCAATGGGTTCATTTTTACAAAGTACATAGAATTAGATTTTAAACTGCAAAATGTTACTTAATGACAATAACTGCTGGATGTCCAGTCCCTGAGCTCTTGGTTTTCAGTAACTGTGGCCCCTCTGACTAATTCGTTGAATATTCTTATTTTAGAACATTGCAAGAGTGTGGTACAGGTTTATAAAGCCTTAAAATATTTATAAATACTAAAATAAATATAGCGTTCCTACTTCGTGGTTTTTCACCTATCGCGGGGGTGTCTGGAACGTAACCCCCACGATAATCAAGGGCCTACCGTAGTTCAAAAATCTATCTTCAACAGGTAAGATATTAATTGTTTATAACCTTCCTTCTGAGCCCCACTTCAAAAGGCCTGAACTGTTGCTTTAAAATTTATCTCGCTGCTGTTTATTCTCATGTTTACTGTCCAAACACAGCTTCTCCTCGCTGCAGTTTCCTAACGTCTCTGATCGCACTAGAAATGCAACTGTTTTGTGTCCTACTGGTATTTCGTTGATTTTACAGGTAAGACGAGCACAAAGTGGCCTTGCTGGATAAACATTGCTCTCACTTAAATGCACAAGGATGTTGTCATCAGTCTGAGGTGGAGGAGAGAGGATATTAGGAGGCGCTGCATGAAGAAGACAGCGCCCGAAGCTCTGAGCAATTAATTTGATGTTCTGTACATGCTCGGGGATTAAATGTGTGTGGAGCTGTGCTATTAAACGGTTGCTCACTCTCTCTTGTTCCCCTTCATCTCTGATCTCCCCACCAGAAGAGAAGAGTCATTGGCGACTTGACATTAACGGCACAGTTATTGACGGCTCATCAAGAACGCGGTGTGGAAATCAAACCTGGCGTCCTCTGAATCATAAAGCAGGGAAAGGTCAATTAAAAAGAGAGTCTGTCCTTATCATACGTGTCTCCGCCTCTTATTTCTCTTCATGTACATAAAGTCGCCCTGCCTGGCCTCTGCATGTGCATCAACGAGTGGCAGGCTCGATTCTGCCAGGTTTTTCTGTGTGGACATGCAGTCCATGTGAATAATGCGTTTGAGGTCATCAAAATGCAGCCAGAGGCAAAAGATGAGGGAGGCAGACAGAAAATGAGTTTCTGTGAAGGAGAGAATAAAGAAGGACTGAATGGGCTCGGGACTGATATCACTAACAGTATGAGAAAATTGTGAGCGCTGATCGTACGGAAAAAAACCCCATCCCCATTCGTCTGTCGTCCACAATGTTTGGAAACTGGCTACAGGAGTTTTGGTATAACGGCTTCTGAGGTTAACATTCTTGGTTAGTTTTTCCCTTTTCCCAGTTTTTTCACTTAAAAGAAGTGAAGCAAAGTGATCTTCTCCATGTGGGCAAGTGAACTCAAATTTTGATTACTGTGAGTGCAAACACCTCCTGGTCAATGTAATAAAAAAAATAATAAAACTCAACTTGTTGCTAACTCTTCTTCTCCACCTTGCTCTGCTTTTTTTCTGGATGAATTTGTGAATCTAATGAGCCTAAAGAATACATTAAGTCATCTGAGCCTCTGAATAAAATTGTTCAGGCACAGAGAAACTGTAGGAAGCAGAACCATCTAGTTATAGCAGGGGTCTCAAACTCAACTTACCTGTGGGCCGCTGGAGGTAGAGTCTGGGCGAGACTGGGCGGCATCAAGTATTCCACAAAAAATGGGTTTTCAGTATTCAAAAAAACAAAAAACTGCAATTAAAAAGTACAATGCAGCTATTGCTAGTATCACTCAGCCCCCTGTGAATAGCATGCGGTCATCAGGGTACTAATGATCAATTGTTAGGTTGATGGTCCACATTTAGCATGTGAACAGCTGGTTTTGAATGTCAACAACAAACTGGTTGATCCACTATGAGAAGGTGCTATTTATAAAACTGAGCTGAATACAGCGCCTCAGACTGAAGAAGTCCTTCGGATGAAAGACGAAACGTTTCTGTAAGTGCCACCACAATGATTTATAACAAAGTCCATGCTCAATAATCCAGGTATACAATCCAACATGTTTCAGTCAGGTCACCTGGACAGTTTCTTTTTTTTTTGTCCTGAAACGTTTCACCTTCGTTCCGGAAGGCTTCATCAGTCAAGGAAACACACAACACAAAACTGATTTTTCCCCCAACAGCTTACTCCAAAGTGGAACAAACCAGTTATGTTGGTGCTAAGATGGGCTCTTTGGTGCCGGCAATGGAGGAGGTACGCCCCCTCCTCCATTGCCGGCCCTCTTCCTTGTTGACAGTCGTGTCAAACTGGTCGAAAACACGATTTATGCGTTGAAAGGGTTAATATTGGTTTTCAGTAGTTAGAATATTTAGTTTGTTTAGTTCACAATTGGAAAATATTTTTATTTCTGTATAAGATGCATTTATTCTGTCAAGAAGGACTATTTTTGTTGTACCGTTATCGCGAGATTTGTGTGAATGGAAAGGAGATCTGCGAGATCTGCTGTGCTCACTACCTGAAGGCACGAGCACTGTGCGGCAGCCTCGATAGATCGCTAGCTGTAAAGGTATTTACTGTTGTAATAAATGTGTTGGTTAATGTGTTCTAATTATTTTATATGTTAATTTAGAGTGCACAATATGAAAAACATTTGTCTAGAACCTCTTTAATGATGAGCGGCCACGAGGTACACCCTTTGATAACGCATGTTTCACTCACCGCTTGGTACAGTACCTAAAGCTTTGTGTCTATTTCTATATTTTGTGTCTTATTTCTGTTGTTTTCACGGCCCGTTTTAAATAAAGAAGCCGTGCCTGAGTCATCATTTGGAGTTATAGTTTCCACAATTTTTTTTAACCCGTCCAGAGGACGTGACTTAACTTTGCTTTTATTTGTCTACCTGGATTCTACCTGCATCAGGATCCTTTCCTATTGATTTTACCGTCATACAAAACTTCATTACTGTTTTAGCATCAACACAAAAAGTACCAAAACACATAAAAAATATAAGTAATGCATCAAACAACGATTGGGTGCGTATATCAGACCTTTGCCCATAATTCGGCTTCCATTATATATCCAAAAATAATTGTTTTACCTCCATAACAGAGTCTGGAGTACTTAGCCTCAATGCGCTTCCTGGTGGCTATTAATAGCAGAATCCCAATGGAGTTCTGAATGAGCAGTGATGGCAATTCTGTTAAAAACAACGCTTCAGTGAGCAATCACACGGTTGTTTTAGACATGAAACAATGCTGCTACAAGATGACAACAGACTCACCATATATTCGAGTTTGCAAACGTAGATTTGAAGTGCATTAATATGTTAGGAACAGAGCACACCACAGCAACAGTGGAGACCGAGGAGGAAGTAAACGTGACCCGTGGCTTTAAAAAAAAGTTAAAGAGTTTGGGGGCAACAGATGAAGTGGACCCGCAACAAGTTGTCAAACTAAATGCAGGTTACGTGAGGAAAAAACGCACGGGCCGCAGTAACACTTTGATTTCAGGTAGGGGACCACAAAATATCGGTCCGCGGGCCTCAATTTGCCCCCTGGCCATGAGTTTG